GACTCGATCCCAGCCCTGAACAGAAGAATGCCTAGCAAATGTAGCCCTATGGACGAACAACTTCTGAAATACTTCGCCGACCTAAACGGGCTTAGATCGCCGAAACAACAGCCATTGGTCGGATAAAACCCGAGTCATTCCGGTACGTAGAACCGGCTGCCGTGGGAATGCCAAATTTGGCTTGTACAATTTTGCTTATTTTATATCTAAACACGCTCAGCTCAGACTTTTTAATAACCAAAAATACTTACGAATTCATTAAAATCCACTCAAGCAAGTAATTAAATATTTTTGCAAATGCATGTTCATCGTGCACTTGTCTTTTCTTTACAATTAGGTCGGCAAATATACTACATCTGATCGTTTGACACATTTAACAGATTTTACCAACAAAAGTAACTTCTCACAAATAGAGAGCGTCTTTGCTCTCTCTCAGTAAGGGATCGATCTCCAGTAAAATCTTGTAAAAACGTTAAGTTCGGTCACTGTATATACCAGATGTGTGAAACATCGAATAAAAAGTAATAAAATAAAAGAGCGCAGTTTAAGTTTTTCATGTTTTTATTGTATTTTTATAGCTTTTTTACGTTTTTTTACACTTTTAAGTTTTTAACATTTTTTTGTGTAGTTTTCATGTTAGTTTTTTACTGAATTAAGCCTTTAGAAGAAATTTGTATTTTTTTCGTTTAAATTAATTTAAAATTAGAACTATCACTTTTAGGTAAACTTACATACAATAATATTAAAAAATAGGTATATATGTATATCTATACATGTATGAATATAGTACAACATAAGCAATTATAAGTTTCCAGCTAAACGCAAGCAATTAGGAATACAGTGTAATAAAATATAAAAAAAAAAATATTATAATTGTAACTGTGATAGATATTGAAATTTTCGCTTCAACAAATTCAAACTATTAGTACTTTTTTTTAGTTCTTTTCACTTCAAGTTTTTTGTCGTTTTTTTTGTGGTTAAATAAATCATTTTACTCTTTTTACGAAAACAAACTAGCACGTCTGTTGTTCTTAGTGTATGTACGTCATAATGTGCGGTTGTATACATATGAAGTAATGTTACAAATATGCGTATATATACGTTAAGTAGGTATATAGCCAAAGTTTGCAAACACACTCAACCCAAGCAGACAGCTATGCGCGGCAACAGCCAGCTAAAAGACCGAGGCAACAATAGCTGCGCGTCGCCACAGCAACGCATTACTACTGGGAGCGGGTGCGTGAGCACGTTGTGGTTTTATTTAATTTTCCATTTTGTTTTCGTACAATTTTCATACATTTATTATACTTTTACTTTATTTCTCTTCGTTTTTTGATTGTTTTAAATTTTGTATANTGGTGCGTGAGCACGTTGTGGTTTTATTTAATTTTCCATTTTGTTTTCGTACAATTTTCATACATTTATTATACTTTTCTACTTTTACTTTATTTCTCTTCGTTTTTTGATTGTTTTAAATTTTGTATAATTTTGAAAGTGTTTTGCGAAATTTTTCTTTCTTCAATTATGAACTAATAAAATTGCATCAATAATATTTAGTGATTTTTCAATTCAATTTACTCCAATAAATTACTATTTACAAGAAAAAAATATACCAATGTTTCGTCAAAAAAAACGGCTAATATATTAAAAAAAGATTTCATATTTATAATTTGAGTATATTAAACAAAAAGGATAATATTCAAATTTTACAACTCCACTCTTGATTGTACACGAAAAGTGATTATTTGTTAATAACAAACGTATTGCAAATATCTGTTGGTTTGTTGCAAACTATAATAAACTATGCCATTTTCAATAGTTTTTCAAACGAAATCAGATTGCTTTTTAACGCTACAAAAATCATACATTCTTCTGTCACTTGTTTGCTTCTACTTTTAGTTTTGCAATTACTTGATTTTTATTTTCTTTTCTTTTTGGTAAAAAGTTAACATTTAGTCATTTGTTGATTCATTCGTTATTTCAATTTTATGTGTTTTCGGGTTATGTTTCTGTTTCACTTAAACATTTATAAAAAAAAGTATAGATATTTTTATTTTTACTTGATTAATTATGCGTTAATAGATGTACACTACACTTCCACACACATTGGGTATAATTATTTTTTCTACTTTTAACAGCGTGTTTCAAAATTGTGTATGCTCTTTGTTGCTTCATATATAATATATTACTAAATTCAATATTTTTTATTCGATTTTATAGAATAAAATCATTTTTTGTATTAAATATCTTTTTTTTTTTTGTTTTTTTTTATGTTTTGTTTTTGTTGCTTTAAAGTTAAATCGAATCGAACCAAAAGAAAACTTAGCATTAATGTAACACATATAGATTGAAATCGCTTACACAACTAATTAATAAAACAATTGATATCATAAAAAAAAAAATTAGAAGCACAACTTTGTCATTTCCAACAACCAATGAGGGCGAAAAGGAGAGTTATAGGAGAGAGATTAATTGCAATAATGTATGGATTTTCTTAACAAATCCGGCATTAGCTACTCACAGTGCGTTTGGAATTTTTTCGTATGATGAATCGAGCTTTCAAAGAACATCATTATGGAATAATTGGAAAAAGTTTAAAATATCGTATACGCGCTATATTCTTAAACGCATTGTTGCAAAGGTTCAGTGTCTTTTATTTCTAAATTGCAACTCATATCAATATCCAATATGCGCAGCCATGAAGAGATACCAATTTTTAATAAAGTTGCGCAAATTGAATACTTTAATCTCCTATGGTTGAGAAATAAAAACAATAGACTGATGCTTTGCATTAATGCGTTTAAGAAGGCAGCCACACTGTGAAGCAGGCGGCAGTGTGGATGAATGTGAGTGTCTAAGGGTAATAAGCAGCTGTACAAAACACACCAAATCTGTCGGTTCAAATTTTTGCTTGATATGTTAAAAATTAAATTTCTAAACACACAATATCAAATTGAAGACGAGCAAATATTTTCCATTGTTTATTTTATATGCCAACCGCTATTCGCTTCACTTTACAAATTGCGTAAATGTGAAAGCATATACCGCAAATTTGTAGTATTATTACATCGTTATAGCAGCAACCAGCTATTAAAGTGGTGCACATGTGGCGTATAATATTTGGAAATTGTTGTAAATGCTTAGAACTCTAGTTATCATATTTTAATAAGGTTTTTATGTCTTAATCAAATGCGCCTACATATGTATTTGTGTGTGTTTGGTAGTAGTAGATACGAGAACTTACGCGAATTATCGCATATAAATTTCTGCTTTGTATACATATTTACGTAATCGAATACATATGTATGTATGTATGCATTATATTGAAGTTTATCATATAAATATCTCTGCGTTGTATCTTTTTTGTTTAAATATCAACTATATAAATCCACAGGATTTACAAGGTGTCATAAGTGATATATGGTCATGAAGCCAATGATTTTAGATTGGTTAAAACTATTTTATGGTTGTTAACACTTAACACCAAAAAAAATTTTTTAACCATAATAAAATTTATGACAATATGGCTAGTTATGACACCTTGCGAATCACCTGATTATGTTTTTAATAAATCTTTATATATAAGCATAATTTTATAGTTAGTTATACGCATTTGGCTGTATGCTTTACCACATACGGATGTACATACATATGTATGTCTCTTTCTTTTACTGTTGTTGTCTACGTTATTTGTTGTTTTTCTTAACGAGCGTATGAAAAAAAAATATATACCGGCAGGTTCTGCAATTCACTTCCGAATGAATTTGAGTCAAGTTCGCTTTGAATTCAAATTGGCAGGGGTTGAAATTCAATCGGAAGTGGATTGCAGGACCTGCCCGATAAGCTTTAAATGGCATAGTCTGCTTGCATTCATTTGTTGTTTTTGCATTTGTCATATATTGCATTCAAGTTGTATTTGTTCTAACACACAAATTTGTTTAGATGTAATTCTTAGTTATTGTTTATAAACCTTAGCATAAAAGTTTAGTTCTTATAAAACTACGCTTAGTTGCAGTGTTATCTATTAGTATTAGTTGTATGTTTTTTTTTTTGTATATATTTTATTCATTAACTATGCCACTGGTACTTCTCCATTTTTATAATTTCCTACTACTTCATATGTAAGCGATCTCTTTCCAAACGTTGCCCTTTTAATAAAAAACAAAAAACTAACTCTCTACATATCAAAATGTATACGCATGTGGATTGCTTCTTCAACATATGTTTATTTGATATTGCCTAGTTTTCACAAGCAACTAACTAGTTTTATTGGCACTGAGCACAGATTGCCGTACTGTGTCTTTCTTTTCTTCCTTTTTGATTTAGAAAAAAAACATTTGTTTACCCAAAAGTTGTAGTCCAGTTCAGCATTAGCACAATTATGCTATATATATGTTTAAGTAAATATATTATCGTCTGCCTGTATGTCTGCATTTGAAGAAAACCATTAGACATTCAACAGTCTATTATTGCTTTCAGTTGATTTATGTATGTATGTATGTATGTATGTATTTCCAATGGCGCTACATAGAACCCCTGAATTCTCTTCGTTTTCGATGTGATCTGAAAATTTGTCTCTTAAAGCAGCTAAAGCCTATGATCTCTATTGTCTGTTTGTAGCAGCAGAAAATTCCAACTTACTTGCATCGACTGCCTTGCAAATTATGAATGCATTTTAAAGTGAATTACATTTTCTTTATCAGTTTATAGAATAGCCACTTTAGCAAATATATTTCTTTAACGTTATGTTTTTGGTGTTATTTGTAGGTGAATGTATATATGTAGGTATAAATGGGTATAGTCGTAAATTGACGTTTTGAACGCCTATGAAATTAAGTTTACATTTAATAGTAACATGCACGACAATATTTGTATAAGCTATATGATGTAGCGGGTTTTGAGCATTTGCATTTTGCATTGAGCGGCCATGTGGCGCTAACTAGCGCTCGAGTTGATTCCCATACATGTCGTGNCTTTGAACGCCTATGAAATTAAGTTTACATTTAATAGTAACATGCACGACAATATTTGTATAAGCTATATGATGTAGCGGGTTTTGAGCATTTTCATAATTTAGTGTCTTGGATTTGATGTATAACTCGGCCATGTGGCGCTAACTAGCGCTCGAGTTGATTCCCATACATGTCGTGGCGAAAATTGGTCCTGCTTATAATTGTGTATTGAAAGCTAGAGAGCAAAGCCAATTAATTCGTGTCTGTCTTATAGAATCTATAACTTTTTAATTAGTTTTTTTTTTTTAATATTTGAACTTTTTCATTCAACGTTCAATGGCGTTCAGCTCAACTGAATGCATTTATAGCTTAATTTCCTTATGTAAATACAGTATTATTTTGTGTGTATTTTGTTTATTGTGCGCGCTCGAAGCTCGCTAATTCGAACACCACTAAAATGAGCCGACATGCAGCTATGAAAATACTCAAAATCTATAAGAAAATACATACGTTATGCAAGAAGGATAAGATTAAATAAACTAACAATAGCAAATAAGTTTTTTTGTATTCAAACCTAAAAAAGAATCGTGAAAATAAACAATTATTTATCCGCTGACGTTGTAGTCGCTTCCGACGCTGTGGCTGTGACTTTCGGCGCTGTATTATTGCTGTTGATTACTGGTTTATTTGGCTTTGCTGCCGCCGCATAATTTTGATGTTGATGTTCATTTTTTGCCGCTGTTAATGTACTTGGCCCGGCAACATTCGATGCGCCCGGCGCATTATTGGAATCCTTATTTTGTACTTGTTGTCTAGACTTTTGCTGTTGATGTTGTTGACGGTTTTGCTGTTTGTGCGGTGCCAGGCCGGAGTTGCTACCCCCACGACGTAATTCATGCGGCGAACTACCGTAGTGATAATGATAGTTGTTGTTGCGCGATACCACTTGTGGTTTATTACCCAACGAACCGCTACGTACGCGCACAGTGCCGCTACCAAAGGAACCGGTACGTCGCCTATTGCTGCTGAAATTGGCATAGTTGCCTGACTGTTGATTGTTGTGCTGCTGTTGGTGGTGCTGTTGTTGTTGCTGCTGGTATTGCGGTCGATTACCCACGTAATCGCTGCGATTGCTAATTGTAGTGTTGGGCTTTCGACCACCTGCAGCGACTACCGCAGTGCCGTCGCTCTCGGAGACACTGCGCAGCCGATTTAAGTTACGACCGCGACTGAGACTTCCCACACCTTGCAACATTTCATTGATTTCCGGCTCGACAACTCGGAAATCTTCTATAGTTTTGAATTTTTTCAGGTATTCAGCCAATTTTGGCTTCACAGTCAGTTTATCAGCGTTCTTGTAGTATTTGAGGAAAGCCCAGAATTTCTCAAGACCATAGAGTTGACCTGCAAGATGAATTAAGAATACATTTTAGGTATGCGAAAATGAATAAGAAAAAATAATGCATAAAAAAATTATTCAAATAAGGCATAAGAATGTAAGAAACTTTAACTTCAGGGGTAGCATTTTTAGCTTTAAAATATTCAATTTTGAAGCAAATAGCTCACATAATTGTACGGTTTTAGCTGTCTTAATTAATCTAATATATTGCTTATATTCCCTCTAAACCTTATATTAGAAATTCATGAAAAGTATGAAAGTTATATAAAAATTATCCACAAAAGTAAATTCTCCGTATTTTATAGAACTATAGCATTTTTCATAAAAAGTAAAATAGAATTAAAGAGCTAAATAAAGTTACATTTTCGTACAAATCTTCGATTTATAAATATTTTTTATTTTTATTTTTTTAATTTGTGTTCAGTAATTCAATACAATTTACAAATGTTCACTTACCGATTTCAAAGTCAGCAATCGTCTCGTCCTGGAAATCCTCATATACATTTGGCCGGAATTTTTTCTCTAAACCGTATGAAAAGAAGCGGAAAAGACACTCTAATCCATAGCGGAAACCGTTGCTGGCATCTTCCAGCGCCAAAGCTCGGAACTCATTGTACATTGTCTTGTTGAAGTTTTCACGCAAAAAGAATGACCAGAAACGATATAAAGTGTTCATCTCCTGCGATTGACCATAGCCTAGTCGACGTCGCTCCTTTAAGCAGCGTGAATGATATTTGTGATAGGCTTGCTGTGTGAAATTGTTCTCTTTAAGCAGCGAATGTGAGGGATGTTGAAAGACGGGCAATGACTGTGGCACGGAAGAACCATAGGATGAGGTAGTCGGCGAAGTGCCCGCCGAGGAGCCCATCGATGTGGTGCGTGGTCGGTGTTCTACAGAGTCTAGCAGCCAACCGACGTGCGCCTCCACGGGAGGATTGGACGAGTGGCGGGTCTTGCGCTTGCGTGGTGTACGTGGGTCGATCGAATGTGAGCTTGGTGCCGCATAGAAGCGAGCACGTCGCGACTTCAATGTTGAATTGAGCGTGGAATTGAGGGTATTATTTAGCGTGGCATCCTCGTCTTCGTAAGCGGGTGGTGGTGGTGGCGGTGCCTGTTGTGCATAAATACGTTGAACACGTCCGCTGGCTCCGCCGCCACCCAGCTTCTCGAAATCTTCCTGCGATATTACATTTACTGTGCGATAGTTCGTGCCCACATTCGATGTGGTCCAGAGATCTTCTTCGTAATTGGCTAAACCATCGTTTATCACATTCTCGAGGTCTTGAGTTATTTTCGTACGTGAAGTGAAGTCAGCGGTGCGATCGTAACCTTCATGTTTGGGCGCTCGTTGTACTTGCGACACAATCAACAGTTTATTGATATCGCGATCAGCAAATTCATAGTCGGACTCGTCGTCGTCAGAGAAATTTTCGGTGAAATTATTTATACGTCCAGTCGCTGGTATGGGATCCATAAGCTCTTCGTCAAATTGAAAGTCTAGTTCTTCTTTTTCGGTTGTATTTGTCGAGAGGCCAACTGTTGCTGCTGCTGTAGCTGAAGCGTGTGCGGCTGCTGATTGAGTGGATGACGCAGAAGGTATTTTGTTGTTGTTGTTGATGATGGTGGTGGATGTGGCGTTCGTGGTGTTGGAGGTGTTATTTAGATTGGTGGCGTTCGATGTGGCGGAGGCATTCGATGTGATCAATGGTGTTTTTGCCGTGTTCAATTTTGTATCAATTTTGTTCAGATTTTTGTTGTTGTTTGTGGTGGTCGATGATTTAGTTGCAGAGGTAGCATTTGTGGTGACGGTTTTAATGGTTTGTGTATGTTGTTGTGTTGTGAGCGTTTGTGTTGAGTGTTGTTGATTGGAAGATTTAGTATCTTTTAAAGCATTTGATTTTGAGCGTCTCTTTACCTCTTTCCACATGCCCTCAGTGGCATCGGCCGTTGCGTCATCGGCCCCCGCCGCGTTTCCAACAGCGTTAACAATGTTGTTGCCGCCGTTACTACCTTTCGTACTACCTTGTTGGTCATTGTTCTTGCCACTCCTTTGCACTTTCTGTGGGGTCGACGTCACTGTCGGCATCTTCACGCTTTCAGCCAAACCACTCAAGTGGTCCGCCAATTGAGCCACAGCACCGCTGCCACTTTCCACCTCGGCCACTTTCTGGGTGAGCGCACTTATCGCGTTCTCCGCATTCACAGTGGGCGACGGCACTTGCTTCACCTGCTGCAGCAACAGCGAAGAGACTAGATTTTGCGAGTTGCGTGGAACTGGTGGCGGCGGGATGCTAGTCAAAGGCTTTGTGGCCATAGCTGAGGTAAGTATCGGCGGGAAGAGCACTTCGCTGGCATACGCCGCATCCACGTTGGTCACAGGCGTGGCTGTGGCAGCCCCAATTGAACTTGTCACATCCTTATTGTCATCAATTACAGTAGGTTGAGCCTCTTCTGCGGCGCTGCCAGCATCTCCGCCGGTGTTATTGCTTGCGGGTACAGATGAAACCGGATTATCGGTGCCAGATTTGGCAGCATTATTTTGACTTTCTTGTTGGTTATTCTTTTGTATATCATTATTTACACTCTCTGGTGTTTGACTATTCGCTGCGCTTGTTGCTGCATTTGAAGCAGCCACCTGAGCGGCTGGATTAAATGTAGTCTCGATCACATCACGAATGGGCCACATTGTGGGATTAGTCTTTGTGCGTACTTTATAGCCTTCGAGAAACTCCAGCTTCTCGGACTCCTTGATGGCGTTAATGATCAAAGCCACGTCAGTAGTCAAAGCTAAGACGCGATGAAAAGAAGCAATCAATGTAACTGGAATACAACCTTCTGGGTCCATTTTGCGACGCAGAAAGAAATCGCCAGTTAAATTCTCTTCGCTGAAGTAGTATTCACTATTAGGAAAATAATTGAATAATAAAAAGTAAAATTATTAAGTAAGTAAGTGTTCTTTCTGGAGTTTGCTTCTGAAAAATTATCATATTTTTTGGAAAGGCACTCACACTTGTTTCTTGATCGCCTCCTTGACCGTTTGTGCGTCCATTTCGATGTAGGCCGCCGGCACTGGGCCATAATAGTGCGTGCCCATGAGCACAAACGAGGACTGGTCGACACCGGCTGCGTCCGCCGGCAAATAGCTTGCGTACTCGCCACTGGCTAACAGATGGCGTGGTATGCGATTTGACGCACGACCTGGTCCCGGTCTTGCGAATCCACCGCGCCCTTGCCGGCCGCCACGGTAGGACGTCCGGAAGCGCCGTTGCGTACGCGCTGGGCGGTCGTATTCGCGTTCGGCGACGCTGCCGCCACCGATGGCACTACTGCGCTCGGTGCCGCTGCCGCTACGCCAGGAATCAATGCGCTCAGTAGGGCGGGAAGTGGGCCGCGTCGGACGTTCACCGCCCCCGCCCCGTGGCGCTTCATTTCCGGCGCTGGGTGCGGCATGTTGACGCCAATCACTGCGCTGCTCTGTTTCGGTTCCGCCGTTATACTGGTCACCAGCGTTTGGGTGCTGCTCTTGGTTGTAATAGTGATGTTGCTGCTGTTGATAGCGAGACGTAGTGTTTGGTAAGCGTCTAGTGGGACGTCCAATCGGTTTCGGGCGGCTGGATTTGGCAAGGTCGATTTGCAAGGGACGCCACTTGTGCTTGGGAATCTTCTTATTAATGCCATTTGATCCTGAGCTTGTGTTGGCTGGTGTGGCAGTAGCTCCACTACCTTCACCATTCCCTGATTGTGTACCAGACTTACTCGACTCATTTTGCGCTTGGCTCGTTGACGGTTTATCGCCTGTAGCAGCACTGGTTGGTGCACCTGTTTGATCAGCGTTTCCCTGAGTTGCTGCTGCTCCGCTTGCGATAGAGCTTGAGTTATCTTCTTTATTGACTGCGTTTGCAGGACGCTGCTTGTGTTTCGTTGAACGTTTCGATTCGTTATTTGCGGGTTTGCCACCAATTAGCATAGGCCAATCGCCGACGTTGCTGAAATCACTGGCCTGGAGGGAGGAGAAGCGAAGGAGGAAAAATTTACATTAGTTTCACACACTTCGTTAGCCGATTCAAAGAGGGCTTTCCATTTTACCTTTTGGTTGACCTTCTTTCCGTTATTCACAACCTCTGTCGATGCTGTGTCTGTTTGGGGCACAACTGCAAAGAGTATCAGATAGGGAAGAAGGTTAATATGGTTGGAATATGACTTAAAAATATATATAATAACCAACTACATACATATGTATGTATGTATAAAGATCAACAGCATAATAATATCTGAATTTATTTAAATTACTTATGTACCAAATCCAGAATGTGCTTAGCTAACATAACCTCACATAATCACTCACATATGTATATATGTAAGTATATATAAACATACCTGCGAGTGAATTTTCGTTCTTTTTAATACTTTTTGCAGACTCTATTTTCCCAACTCGCATTTTGGTTACTCGATCTTAAGTTATACTTTTTATTTTTATAAAAAAAAAACAAACAATCCAGTCTCAAATATACAAATACATACAGTAATAAAATTTTAACCGAAAAACTAAAAACACAAATAAGTAGTGAACACGATAATTCCGAAACAGGTTTAAAGTAAAAGCGCAAATTAATTGCGACGCAAATTAAAACCGAAAATGGCGCATCGGGTACCAAAACAAATTTCGGTGTAAAAAGGGGCAAAAAACCAGGTGAAATGAAATCCAACTAAGATGTATAAAACAAGAAAAACATCAATGTTAAAAAGCGATAAAAAGGGACAACTCATTGGCTGTACATTATACATACTACATACATACATACATATATGATGTACATATGTATGTACTTAAAAGGGCGATATTCTCGGCTGAGAAATCAGCATAATCACCATATTTTTTAAACCTTTTAAAAGGTGCCAGCTGCTATGATCTAAGCTGTAGACACGCACACAAACTCACCGATGGTTGTCGATGCTGCTGCCGCCGGAGCTGTTGTAGAATTTAACTCTTTTGTTGTTGTTGATGGTTCATCCTGAGTTACTACTTTTATGTCTTGGCTTTTGTTCTTGTTGATATCAGCAACTGGATTTGCTTGCGGCCGAGCACTCGCACTCTCTGTATTATCGGCAACTTTTTTCTGTTGTTGTTGAGGTTGGTGTTGCTTTTGCTGCTGCTGCTGCTGCTGCTGCTGCTGCGCTATATGTTGTTTAGGTTGTAAAACACGTTTCTCTAATGGCGACGAACCTGTTGTGGTTGCTTTGGGACTTGAATATTGTTTGGATATCTGGAAGGAACAGGAAAACGTTGATAAAAAAGAGGTTAAATTTTTGCGTTTAGCCCTTGTGTTTTCAACATTCTTAATTTTGTATTTAATAATATCAAATAAGTAAGTATAATTTAATTTTAATCAATAAAAAATACACGGCAAACAAGTATATTGGGCGCTAGTTTTTAACCGACTTCCAAAAAAGGAGAGGTTATCAGCTCGTCGGAATATTTTTATTTAATTTTTTTTTTTTCAAAAATTTTTATTGGGCTTGAGGCCGTTTTAATGAAAAACTTATTCTGGAAAAGCAACAATAATTAAAAAAAAAAATGGTAGAAGTGATTGCTATTTCGGAAATCACCACATTTCCTCTCATCAGACTTCTTTCAGTGGGACTCGAACCGACGATCCCACTGACTCAGCCAGTTGGCTACGCACTGTGCTAAGTTCGCTTTGTGAATTCGTGTTGCCTTTTGTCCACTATTTCATTTGTTAAGCCAACTACAATAAAGCACAGCTGTTCCAGTGCTATTTAAACGTTATTTTTTTTTCCTTTTTATTTTTATTTTTTTTTTATGTAATGTTACCGCATAACTTTGGACCACGTCAACCGATTTCGATAATTCTTTTCGCAGAGGTGGTCCCATATTAATCTGGTTTAGATCCCATCATTGGATCATGAAATATATATATATGTATATTTTTTTGTATATGAGAATTGAAGACGGTTGTGTTTTTTGCTTAAAAATTACTTGTGTTCTGATCAAATGAATAAAATCAGATTTGCTTCTTTTGTTTCATTACAATTTGCATATAAATAGTTGCGTAACGATACATTCATATCTACATAAATTGGTTGGGCAATCGGCAATTGTTACTAATTTGCAAAGCCTATTTTTTACATAATTCTTATCTAAGGAAAGACACTGCATTGATTGGCTTCAATTAATGGTATTGAGCTGCAAATTTATTGATTGCCATTTTCATACATACATACATATTTACTTTTTTCCATATCGCACACGATCATCAAAGGTGACACAACTCAAAATTACACGTTCGTCAGAAAATGCGAAAAACTATTTCTTAACATATGCTAATCATATGGGGAAGGAAGACTTTACCTTAGGTTTTTTCAACAAATTATTACAAAAATTTGTTGTAGCTCCTGCGGAAATGTAAATAAAAGTTCTGTGTACATTTTTCATTGTGTCACTTTTGATGATCGTGTGCGATACATTTAGTGTGTTTTGTACTACGATCAAGTTTAAATTTTTAATGTCGAAATTTGGCTATATCTCAAAAACTGTTCTACTTTCTTATATTTTGACTAGCGGCGGGAACTGTGAAGCTTTTATTTTCAAAAAAAAATTTATAAATAATCTTTATTTTTTCAGCGATATGTTTTCGATCAAGAATTAAAGATTTAAAATATTTTTATTTAATTTTCGATCAAATATGAAAAATAACTTTTGACTTTTATTTGTTCATAACAGGTAATATTTTGACTTCGTTAAAAAATAACAATTACCGTTGACTTGTACTTCTTCAATAAAAAAAAAACGCTAATGTCACTCATTTTTCTTAATAAAAGAAATACAATGAATAACAGTTTACTATCGATCTTCACATTATTTACATCGCTTATTTGCTTATCAACCCACGAACTACAAATATCTTGTTTATACGTGGCAAAACAAACATTTCTAACTTAAAGGTCTATAAGCAGATGAAATAGTGGTTTAATTTTAACTTTTATCTTTTATCGGAAAATCAAGTCAAATTTTAACTTTTATTTTTGATCGGAAAATCAAGTCAAATTTTTACTTATCAAAAAATAAAATAAAAGTTGAACTTTTGTCGAAAAAATAAGTCAAATTTTAACCGTTATATAAGACTGAAACAATTAAATTCAATTTTTAATTGTGATTAATGTGAAAAATATCGTTAAAAAATAACGATTACTTCTTGACTTTATGAAACAAATTTAAATCATTTAAGATTATTATTCCTTAGCCAGCATCACTTTGATATACAAATTCAATTATACTTCATATTCGGATACAGCGGAAAATTTTTACACAAATATTGTCATCATATCACAGTCAGATTTCTTGTAAATTAGTGTAATAGATAGTTAAACGCTTTTCGGTTAAAACGCTTTTATTATAGTTATTCGTTTTTTATTTTATCTTTCCATTGGTTTCTTTAATTTTTATATTTTATTTTATATTTTTTTTTTATCTTAATTATTTAAATTTTTTGTTTTTATTCCTTTTATTTACTGCATTATGTGGATAGTTTTAGATATTTAAGTGTTTTTCTCAATTCAGTTCTCTTTAAAACCAAAAACCAGAAACTTATTGAAATTTCGTTTTTAAACATTCACCACCCCTATCAATATAAATTGATGTGTACGCTACGCCCTACACCACACAGGGACATCATATGTATGTGCTTTGGCTGTAGGCACAACAAAGTAATATATGTATGTATAGGAAAATTTGAATTTACTCTATGCTCTAGCGCTCTCCGACATTGCGCATTGCGTGCCATGTATGCCCCCCACCAAAAGAGAGACGCATACATACAACATCCCTCTTGGAAAATAAGGGATGCTTCTACTTGGAGGTAAAATGGAAACATACCCTATCACTGCGTGCGGAAACTCCGAAGAAGTTTTAAAATTTACACTGTTTCCTTCTCTCTCTCTCGCTTTTAATCGAAAGCATTAGTAAAGCCTTCGCTTGGACATAAAGTGGAAGCATTCGTGGAAGCTCCGATAGAAGCAATAACAATGGATCGGTTCATCGAACTAGTTTTAAATGAGGAAAGTTCTCTTAAATATTTCCATACTGATTCCAAAAGAAGCTCTATGAAATGCTTCACCTAGACTTTCTGCAATCAGCGAGGGGGAATACTTCCTCCCAATTGATAGGGTTCGTCGATTTAAACGGGGTCAGGTCGCCGAAACAAGAGCCCTTGGTCGAGAAAACCCCATACTCAGGTAACATCGCTCTCCCATATGGTCCGACCGTTAGTTTATTCTGCGGAATGTTTTCGTCATGAATGGCGGAATGCTCGCATTTCCTAAAGGGATACCATGTATGTAAATACATACATATGTATGTATGTATGTATGTGAGTACGCATGTAGATATGATTTTAATAAATTTTCTAATGGAAAATTACTGGGCTGCTAACTTGAATAAGAACATACTGTGAAAAGAATGATCAACCAACTAAAATATAAGAAAATCCGAAGAAAGAATTGCTAAAGCCTACCAAACTTATCTATCAAAAAACAAGCATATCGTTAAACGTGAAAAGGTATCAAGTCCATTTTTTTAAATTATTCAGGGGAGACGAAAAATCGATGAAGCTTCGCATTAACTGTTATTATGCATCAAAAACTACATCTTGGAAAAAATGTGGACCTGGCACCTTCAGGAATTCATAAAATATACATGAATTAATAAAAAAAATATATTAAAACTTAATAAATGTTAAATTTGAAAATATTATGAACTAATACATTTGAGCAAAACTATGTATGCATAAAAATTACGCAATCAACGATATAATGAACTATTGGTAGCCTGTATAACCTAAATCGAAATATTTAATTTGTCGAAAGCCAGCTGACATAAAATTTACCTTTTTATACATAGTACGAGTTAGAGGTATACGCCGCCGAGCCACGCTTTCGCCGCCGCCGCGGTTTTTTGTCGTTTCTCATGCGCCGCTGCCGAGTTACGAAAATATCGGCGCGGCGGCGGCGGCAGCGGCGTTCGGCGCCTAAGGAATTTTGAACAAAATTTGCATGATGAATGCGCATTGAAATACATCGCTTGAAGGAACTACTACTCAGGAATATAAACATTGTTTTTTTACAATACCACAACAATATTCCTTTTTTACATATTACTACAACAACAAGAAAGTTATCTCACACACCAAAAACTTTAACGATAATATCTCAGAAAGCAGTTTTAACAGAAGTGTCCTTATTGCATCTAACTCCTCAATTATTGGAGATAAAACAAAAACAAACTGATACTCTTGTGTATTTTTTCTTTAATAAAGAGTTGAATATTTTTGAAACAGATTTTAAATAAATAAGTTATTTTATTCTGGGGTCCCACAGACGTATACAAGTACTAGGTGGCTGTGTGAAAATTATGTTAGCATTAACCAATTGGTGATCAAACCCCAGGAAGGTTTTGCTCTATTGCACCGCAATGTTTTCTACAAAGGGTTGAAGTTTCCCCTTCTTGGTGGAAATTAACAGTATTTTTCATTACTTTCGGTTAACCTCAAGCTCAGGCTCTATAAGCCATTTTTTAAGCAGTGGATCAAAAAGGCCTGTTCTGCTGGAAGTTGATGGGTAAAACTGTTGGAAAATAGTAGATCGCCCTAGTGTTCAATCTATTTAACATAACGGTAGATAAGATTATTACAAAAATGTAATAGCGACATAAATTACCCCAATAACTTAACTTTTAAAATTTTTTTTTACTTCTTTAAATTTAAATAGTACATACGGATCTATAGAGAACATAGAGAACCATGTATGTATGTATATACCGCAGACCTTCTGTTCGCCCATCCATCAAAATTTTAATTCAAGTAGGAAGTAACATTATTTAAATTTAAAACTATGAAATGAAATAAATAGAATTATATTCTGAATTGGCATGGCGAATGCCTAAACGCTAAGATTAGTAGCCTCAAGGCTCTTTGGAATCTACCTTATGGGCAGTAGAGCCGGCGTCTCCAGACGCGCCGGCATCGCCGCCGCCGGCGATTATTTTTGAAGTTGACGACACCGCCGCCACAAAGCCTGTCGGCGTAAACCTCTAGTACAAGTATAAAGGAAGCTCGGCTGTGCTGCTTCTGACTTGCTATCGATTTATGCAGAGTCGTTAAATATAAGTACTTATATTTGAACAACACTCAAGTTCTGCACTTTTAACGTTTTTCTTGGAACTTTCAGTTCAGTAACACTTCAATGTTTGTTAATACTTAAATATCTAAAATAAAAGATTATTTCACTGTTAATTGGCTTTTTAATTGTTATATATTGGGATAACAAATGAGTATTCATGAATTTCTTTTACATATTTTTATTTGATTGATTGTTAAACTGAGCTCTTTACCAATATCTTTTCACTTGCAGCTATTTAAGAGGTTTCGTAGTCTCTTATAGGTTTATGCATTTATATTCAAAACTGTGAATCAAGATATTTGTATATATTTCACTTTTACAGTACACTTAGTGAAAATAGTAATCACTTTAAACAATTTTTTAGTATCTTTGACTTGGTGAGACGTCTGTCTTGTTCAATGGTTGAAGAAGTTCTGATTTCTCGTAGAGTCGCGCGATCGCTAAAAGCAACTTTGTGCCAAGTGGTGTCTACGTGAGCCACGAAGCGATACGCTGTCGAGTTTTGGTGTAAAAACAAAAAAACAAAAATAAACAACAAACGGACAGAGTAATAAAACAAAATAAAGGTAAACACACACACACAGATGTATTTAAATAAAAATTGTGACTAAACACTTGGCTGCCTGCCTGACTGCTGGACTGGTGGTGCATGTGATACATGCTAGCAATGCATGTGCAGGGCGGTGGCAGCCGCAACCAACAATTGGTACCTCGGAATGTTTTTGTTACATTTTTGTTTTGGTCTTCATATGCATACATTAGACCATATCACAAAATAGTCAAATTTGTTACAAACGATTTTTTCGGCATCATGTAACAAGACAGCTAGCTCGGTTTTTTTCCAAACCTTCTTTATTTGATATCCGATTTTTATTAGTTCAATGCGAGTCCGGTGTACAGGATTTAATCAAAACTTACAGGTAGCCGTTCATATACACAAAAAAGTTGTACCTACGAATACTTCTGAGAGAGTAACTGGGCAACTCTTCCATAATTCATTAAACTTATTAAAAAAAAACTTTGATTTAACTTTTTTAACAGGTGTGGCAACCCTCTTTCAACTCCTCAAAAATATTCTGACGTTTAAACTAACGTTTTTTTAACAGTTCTTCGTTTGACATCCATATTTTGATGTTTCAAATAACTTGTGTATAAGTAAACTAAATTCGACATTTCAAGCAGGTGGCAACCGTCTTCAAAATATTTTCAAGCTGCTCTTTCTGAAACCCATTCATACTTTTCTTAGCTAATATGATTTTTTTAGCAGGTGGCAACCCTCCAATAGCTAAGANATATATTTTAATATTATTTAGATATCCTTCAGCCAAATCAGTGTTGCAGCAATGACACGTAAACAAACCGACTTTCGTTTTTGCTGGAAAAAGTGCTGTTTGCGTTCCCGTACACATTTGTATGTAGTTGCACTCCCGTTCCTCTCACTAAGACAGTAATATTGCTGTTTGAAAGTTACACAGGTTAATGTCCGAAGTTCAAAGGAACAGACCATATACTACCCTGCCCACCTTTACTTTGAAATATTTTTGCTTCAAGATTGTATGAACTAAGTGTGAAGTGTATGAACTAAAGGTGGGCAATGCATGTAAATGTCTTTTTACAAGGGCATATATGTAAAAACAATTTTAACAATAGTAAAATACTCTCAGAGTGAGCGTTCAAAATCGCTTGGAACAACAGAGATCAGGCATGCCCAACGCCGGCAGAATTCAATAAGCAAGTGCCCTGCGCTGGGCACGGCTGACATAGATGCATCGAAAATTTTCCACTCGACGTATGAATAGTCAATAGGGATATTCTCTGAGAAATGGGTAATGCACCCCTTCTTACTATTGATTACAGGGTGGCGTTTTCCGACAATAATTATATCTTTTAAGTACAGCAGAATACAGAAACATTTAAAATTTATTTAGCTGCTTTTACAGGGTGCCGCAAAAAATTTTATATTACTGAAGTACTTACCTAGTAAGTGTTCAAAACCGCATGAACCAGCCCATACATCGCGATACGGTCTAATATATACATGCATACATATTTCGAAGGAGGAATGCATATTTACTACGAATACTGCACGTACGGCGAGTTGTGGAGAGAAAACGGGAAAAGAAATTGCTTCTGGACGCCTGCATTCGTGCACAATAAACCAAATATTTGACGTTCTCAGTGCAGTCGGACGTGCAAAGGGCAAATGTAAACAACACAACTTTCCTTATCTAATTTGATAACAAGCCACAAGCGCAAATAAACATAGTAAATATTTTAATAATAAATTACTTGTACGTAGTGTTTTAACTTCATTAAAGTCTTAGGGCCGTTTACTCAATGTCTGGTTAACACTAATCTCCGGTTAAACATAGTTATCGACGTTACCGACTCCCTGTTGTATGCATGGAGTCGAAGACGTCGATAAAGATGTTTAACCGCAGATTAGAGTTAACCAGACGTTGAGTAACCGGCCCTTAGGCGGTTACACCAGAAGCCTGAAGTGAGATATTCATAAGACACATTGTTATATTTTTCTATACTAGCAAGCTGTATCTTTGAAATGGCGATCATTTCACCATCTCAACTCCAATTACATATGTATGTATATATGCAAAATAATCTAATTGAAGCCTCATTCTATAGAAGGCTATATTCTTCTTGTGTGGCACTGTAACCGCCAATGCGATTTTGGACTAGTCCCATAGAGCAGGCCAGTTATTTCTCTTGTATGTTAAACTAACGACAATTAAAAATGCCGAGTGTAGCTAAGCCCTTCTCCAACTGATCTTTCTATCGCAGTGGCGGCATCCCGGAGAATCTTAGTCTCTAATGCTCCAAGGGCCGCCTCGTAGAATGCTGTCATTGTCCATTGAACCAGTGAAAAGAAAGGGATATAACTCGAGGCTTTTTGAACCTTTACATTCTAAGAGGTTTTTACAGGGCGCATCTTAAACTTAGCGTCAACCAGAGAAAAAAAACATTTTAGGTACAACTGGCTAGCCAACTTAACAACAGCTCTCAAAAATGCTTTAAAAAATTCTCCCAGAAACATTTCAGGCGGTTTTACAGACTCAAGCATGGCCTCAATGGCAGTATTTACCACATGTATAGATAATTCCTGAAAACTTTGAAAATAAAATCCAGTAAATGTTTATTGGGTATTGCCATCAATTTACTGCATTTTGAATTTTTCTGAGCTATATACGTACATACATACATACTTCAAATGTGTATACCAAGTCAAAGAGTGAAGTCATCAGACGAGTCGCCCGGGAATATAACTTCAAAATGAGTTGGCACGAAATGCAGTTGTGTGAGAGGTATGGAAAATTGTTAGTGCTACTTTTCCATAATAAAAATAGAGGTACAATAAGTGGCGGAAAAAATCTACGCAGTACACGCTCGGAGACTTGGAGCGACAGCAAATAAAATAAATAAATAAATGGTGGTGGCTTCGGCTGATGAGGCAAACACCCGGCGCGCGCATAACGAAACAAAAGCCAAGAAAACAAAAAACAGGTAAACAGAAAATCGAGACAAAAACAAGTATGTATGATTGAGAAACAACATCGGCGTCGGCTGGGAAAAGGAGATATACAGAGAGAAATTTTCGTTTTAAAATTTGTATGGAACGTACGTTTTACTTTTAAAAACGTTTTTACCCAAGTTTTGCAGCTAGAATATTTATTTAAATTTTGAGGTCGAAAATTTTCAACTCAACTTCTAGAATCTACGTTATTGTTTTTGACACGCACATATTAAAAACAAACGGTTGGTAATTGAAAATGCCCATATTCAAATCAAATTCTAAAATGTTTCCATTTAAAATATTATTTTTATTAAATCACAAAGTCATTTGGTATGTATATACATTGATGTTTTACTTACATACATACATATATCACATATATAAGTACATACAGATTGTCCATCCTTTCATCCAAAATGTGGCTGATGGTTTTGCTTCACGCTGTGGTCAGATCACAAATTACACATTTATCATAGGAAAATTGTAAATTATTATTAATAATAAGTTATTCTTATGAAAGATTTTTTTCAATCAAAGAGTCCATCGTATCAACAATGCCCTCTTATTTATATGGTTAGAATGGCGATATTATACTACAGCGCCTTTTCTGAAGAAGGAAATGCTTGCTATCGAAGCTTAAAGTAACTTGATTTTCTACACAAAAATTTTTCGACAAATGATGCATACAAATGAAATGTTATCTATTATACGCATGTAAGTAGCTTTTTAAATTCTAAAGCAAAACATTTTAGTTTTAAATATTTTTCATGCGTAATTGACTGAAAATAAATTTATATTTTTATTTTAAAAGTGTCTCGTCTTATTTTACTTGTTGAAAATTGTATCGCACTACAATTAGTAAGGACAATATTCAAAAATGTTTCATTTTACTTATGAAAATAAGAATTTTTGTCGTTATTTTTTGTTTTCATTTCGTTTGTTTTCCTCCCTCGAAAATAAAATATATTATAAGGTTCGTTTTTGTTTTGCGAATGTTTCGTTTTAAAGCCGTAAATGATAATACTGCATTTTTAGTTTGTACGAAGTAAAATTTTATCAAAAAATGTTGTTTTACAATTTCTTTTAAAAACTTGCGTTTTACTCCTTTCATTTTCTCAGTGTACAACATTGAAACATATGTATGTATAATAGTAATAGCGAAACAGCTAAGGTCGGTGTTATGCAGAAATTTTGTTTGGCAAACTGCGTGCAATTGTTGTTGCAGCAAACTCGGAGAGAGCGAGTTTGGCGACTCTCACAGCAAACTAATTTTGTTTGGTCAAACTGCAGCAAATTCGGTGTTGTCATATACAAAAATTTTAGATTTTGCCCGTTATGTACATCTGAAATTCTCATTTCGTGTTGGCAATAGCCAAGAAAACCATAATGAACGTGCAACCCTGTGCCAAACTCGACATAACCACCTCCGAGCAAACTAAGCAGCCGCCATTTAATTTGGCAAACAAAAGTTTGTCTGCATAACACCGACCTAAGCAAACCAACGAAAGTGGCAAAAACAATGTGTGTGCGTTTTGGCACGTAGGCCATACAGCAGTGTGAGCCTTGAGATGTAGTGCGTCGAGTGAAGCAGTCGAACGATACGCGTGGAAAGCTATGCAGATTAAATATTTTCAACGAGGAAATCTAATTAAGGGAAGCCAGATCGCTATAAGATCTCGGCATTGCAAACGAATTAACAAATGTGGAATGCGAATAAGTCGAGCAAAATAAACATTAAGCGTATACATAGTATATATATATGGAAACCAGATAAGCCGGCGTTGAAGGTACACAGCGACAAGCGAGCGTCCTTCCATGCTGTTTATCAACGCAACCAGCCATGTGGTTAGAAGGAATGTGTTGGACGGGCACACATGTGACACGAGTGTTTGGGCGGATTGCTAGATTGCTAGATTGCAACCGCGAACCAAATCATATTTACCACCAACCAGAGGGTGCTGCGATCAAAGTGCAATTTGAAGCATACATACATACATATGTACGTGAATGCAATGTGGGAACCATAAAAGCTGTTGTTCAGCAATATGTAATGCAAGAAAAAGTTGACATCAAAAATTACCAGACTACAAATAAGCAACTACGCATGCATAGTTTTGGTGGTATAAAAAAA